CCGGAGCCCAGCAGGTCGAGGCTGCGGTGGCCGGGAGCGGCCGCTGCAGTCCAGTCTGGGCGACAGAGTGAGACTCCGACTCAAAAAAAAAAAACCAATTCGCCTTCCTACTAAATGCCAGACAACTTTTCAGAGGTCGGGTGGGAGTGGGGGTTGGTTTGAGATGAAGACAGAGGTGAGTGAAGGATGAGAGGAAATGGGAAGGCAGAGGAGCCAAGGGTGGGGGTACAGGAGGATGCGCACCCGGGGGTGCTGAGATCGGCGCCGGCAGGGGGCTAGGCTGGGCGGGCGGGGCTCAGGAGCCAAGCCGGGCCGGAGACTCGCAGGGCGTGGTGTGGGCGGCGGGTCTGGGAAGGTGCGTAGGGCCGTCGGGACAGGTTTAGACTCGGGGAACGGCGGCCTTGGCATTTACCTCTTTGCGCCTTAAGTTTTCGCCTCTGTAAAACGGGTATGGTAGTGACCTTCTCCCAGAACGCTTTAAGAACGAGTCAAGACAGACAAAATGCTTGGCAGAGTGCCTGACTCATCGCTGGCCCTCGGTAAATGTTAGCAATTATTACTACCACTTTCTCAACATTTGCCCTTCACTGGGAGAGGTCCTCAGGGGAAGGGGCGCGTTCCTGGGACCGCCCTCCTTCCGAGCCGGGGTTTCAGCACCCGGAGGGACCGACCGTTGAGGACCCGGGGCGCACGCCCGGCGACGGGCGGGGCCTGCGGTTCCCGCCTCGAGCGTGGTCCCGCCCCCTCCCGCGCGGCCTCTCGTGCTCCTTCGGCGCCTTCCCCGCCCCGGGCCTTCCAGCGCGGTCCTCCCGGGCCTCACTCCCCCCCCAGCCCCTGCGCGGGGCCCGAGTGAGTGGTTCCGGAACCCGGGCGTGGGCGGGGGCGCGCACGAAGACGCTGCCGGCCGGCCCGCCTCAGCCTTGTCGGCTCTGCCTCGGGAGCTTCAGCTGCCCTAGGGTACGCAGGTTTGCTTCTGCGGGTCGGCGGGCGGCGCTGCGGGGAGGAGGAGCGCTGGGAACAGGGTCAATGCGGCCAGCCCCCAGTCTCCGTCCGCGGAGGCCGTCCTCGCCCTTGGGAATCCTTGGCGGCCCAGACAGAAGGGAAGTCGGCGCCGGAGAGCCCGTTCTGCATCTTGATTCATCTCGGGCCCTGTAAGGGTCACATCTTGTGAAAATACCTGTAAAATCAATTTAACGTTCAGTGCAGCGTGTAAAGACAGCTCTAAGAATTTAAAAGACGCCTGAGTCAGAACATTTAAATGGTTGGGTCCCTGTAGCAGCGTTTTAACACGTCTGAGTGCAGTGGGTGGAGAATCGAGCCTGATTGCCGTTCACACCCTATAACCTTTAAAAAAGGGTAAAGAAAAGCACCCCGAAGAAACCCAAGTGTGGCTCACAGTTCCCCGAGGGAGGGAAGAACAGCTGACTTTTGGAAATTTGGGTTGGTCCTTATTTCCGTGTACGAAATTTGCCCGCAAAACTTGTTATTTGCAGGCTTAGATCAACGATAAACAGAATTGTTAAAACACTGAACCTAAGTCGTGGCTTTTGTTGACAAGTCGATTATGTTATTAATTCTTAATGTCTCATCCAAAGCAGGAATCGTTATCTCGGTTTTGCAGGTGGAAAAAAAAAGTTTGGCACAAAGAAAGCATTTCCCTTCAATTCACACAGAAGCAACGGCCAAGCTGCAAATTAAGTCCTAGCATTCTGCCTCCTCAGCTGCGTCCCCCCAGACCCTGTTACAAAACAAATGAGTAGTGACTTTGATGTTACTCATAAAACCAGCAAGTAAACCAAGTGTTCTGTGAACATGAAGTGTTAAAATCATAATAACCTTCAGTGTCTGTTCTGCCTTGGGAGGCTCAGCTGCCCTTTGGAGTTTAATACCTTACAAAGAGGAGGGGTGGAGCAAAAATATGGGAAACAATGTCAAGGGAAAAATCTTGTCTCCTGAGTCCAAATTGTGCCCATCTTTACTGTCCCTCTGTGTTGATACTTTCTTTTCAGTGTACTCCTTGTTCTGGCAAAACACCCACAGCTCACGTGGTTTCAGCTGCTGCCAGATTAACTACACCTTTGTATGACTCTGTTGGCACTGGCCTCACTGTCAGTCTTGTCATGCTCTTTCCTCCAGGTGCTCTTTACTAATGTTGTTATTTGAAAACCAGTTGTTGTTCGAGTGTGGAATGATTTGTCACTCCTGAGGGATGATTCTAGAATTAATGATCAAAAACTACCAGCAGATCTTAGGTGAAAGTTAAAAAAGCACAAAAAAGTATTATGGAATTTTTTTTTAATCAATATTTTTTATTATATTGTGGGGTACAGTTAAGGGTTAGGTATACAAATATGCTTCGTTCATGCACCCTTGTTGATAAGAGGTGTCTCCCCATCTCCATATTATGGAATTTGATAGCTGCGTTATTTGGAAAAAAAAAAACTTTGATTACCCCCACCCCCTTTCTCCAGTTCACTCATAACTGGAAAGCAGCTGCTGAGCTTAACTTTGACGTAGTGGTTGTGGTGGTGGAGAATCTTCTTGTTGAACCTCTAGTGGACTGGAAAATTGTCTTTATTTTTAGGAAGCTCCTTTTGGACAGCTTTGAACAAGTGGAAACATTTATACGCTTAGAATGCAAAGTGTTTTGGGAGTTGTAGTTCTGTCTATAAAACTTGTGTAAGAGCTTGGGACCAGCTAGGCACGATGGCTCAAGCCTGTAATCCCAGCACTTGGGAAGGCAGAGGCAAGAGGATTGCCTGAGCTCAGGGGTTTAAGATCAGTCTGGGCAACATGGTAAGACTTCGTCTCTATAATAAAAAAAAAAAAATTAGGTCGGGCTTGGTGGCTTAGCCTGTAATCCGAACGCTTTGGGAGGCCGAGGTGAGTAGATTGCCTGAGCCCGTAGGTTCGAGACCCACTTGGGCAACTTGACAAGACCTCATCTCTACAATAAATCAAAAATTAGCCGGGCATGGAGGTGCACACCTGTAGTTCCAGCTACTTAGAAGGCTGAGGCAAAGGCTCGCCAGAGCCCAGCAGGTGGAGGCTGCGGGGGCTGGGAGTGTGCCACTGCACTCCAGTCTGGGTGACAGAGTGAGAACTCCAACTCAAAAAAAAAAAAAAAAAAAATTAGCCAGGCGTGGTGGCGCATGCCTCTGGTTCTAGCTACTTGGAAGGCTAAGGTGGAAGGATCACCTAAGCCCAGGAGGTCGAGGCTTCGGTTGCTGTGAGCAGCATGCCACCCCACTCCAGCCTGGGTGACCATGAGACTCCAACTCAAAAAAAAAAAAAGAGCTTGGGACCCAGGATATGTGATATGGTGTCTTTCTGTAGAAGGCATCCCTGAGCTACCTTTCCATCTTGTGGACAATAGAAAATCAAACCCAACATAGTTTTCCTGGAGCAGCCAGCCATTTATTCATCTTTTTGTTTTCTTTCTTTTGGTTCCACAGATAAGAATCCCAAAATAATCAATTGGCATCTGGGAGTTTCTGCTCACCTGGAGACGGGATGGAAATACTTCAGCAAGGTAAGGGTAGCCATTTGCAAAATGTTTGATGATTTATACAGAGAGGTCTTACCCAGGTTCTTGCCTTCTATAGTAAAAAGGATTTATAATGTTCATCAGTATGATTTCTCTCACAGAAGCCTAAGTTTCTGAGGAAGCTAGAATACATGGAGATTCTTGAATACTTTCTTACCAGAAAAGAGATTACACCAACTTTTGTTAGTGTTGGTTCAATATCTACTTGTACAGTAGTCTGAAAACTCAAGATGCTTCTATGCTGCAGTAGCAAGCATATTATAAAGAAAATGATGGGCTGGGCTCGGTGGCTCAGCCTTTAATCCCAGCACTTTGGGAGGCTGAGGCAAGTGGATTGCCTGAGGCTATGGGTTTGAGACCACCCTGGGAAACTTGACCAAGACCTTGTCTCTACAATAAATAAAAAATTAGCCGGGCGTGGTAGTGCGCGCCTGTAGTTCTGGCTACTTAGAAGACTAAGGCAGAAGGATCACTGGAGCCCAGCAGGTAGACACTGGGGTAGCTGTGAGTGTGCCACTGTACTGCTACCTGGGCAACAGAGTGAGACTACAACTAAAAAACAAACAAACAAGCCGGGCTCAGTGGTTCAGCCTGTAATCCCGTATCTTGGGAGGCTGAGGTGGGTGGATTGCCTGAGCCCGCGAGTTTGAGACCCGCCTGGGCAACTTGGTGAGACCTCATCTCTACAATAAATAAAAAAAAAAATTAGCTGGGTATGGTAGCACGCGCCTGTAGTTCCGGCTACTCTG